GGACAGGACAGGACAGGACAGGACAGGACAGGACAGGACAGGACAGGACAGGACGGACAGGACAGGGCAAGGCAGGACAGGACAGGACAGGGCAGTACATAACAAGACAGGACAGGGTAGAACAGGACGAGACGGGGCAGGACAGGACAGGACAGGTCGAGACAGGACAGGACGAGACAGGACAGGACAGGACAGGACAGGACAGGACAGGACGACAGACGGACGAGACAGGACAGGACAGGACAGGACAGACGGACAGGACAGGACAGGACAGGACAGGACAGGACAGGACAGGACAGGACGAGACAGGACAGGACAGGACGGAGAGGGGAAAGCAGAGTAGGGAGGGCGCGACGCAATAGGACGGGGCAGGGAAGAACAGCGAAAGCAATGTAGGAAATAGCGGGGTCCAGCAGGGCAGGACAGAGGTAACACGTGTGACCTCGGTGTAAGGTGGGGAGCCATGGGTGTGCATGCGATGCATGGGATTGGTCGGAATACCAGTCTGGTCCGTCGGCCAGTCTGTCGGTCTTTCGGTCTAGTCGGCCTGTAAATCTTGTCGGTGTGTGGATATATTTGGTCTGGCGGTCTGGCGGTCTGATCGGTCTGGCCAGTCGGATCGGTCGGGTCGATCCGACTGGAGGCCGGTCCGGCCGGTCTGGTCGATTTGGCGGTCTGGTCAGTCCGGTCGGTCTGGTCAGTCCGGTCGGTCTGGTCGGTCTGGTCAGCATGGTCGATCTGGTCAGTCTGTCGGTCTGGTTACGCCAGACCAAAACCTGGCCGAAAATGGTGGCCGTCAGTTTCCTGGTCAGAGGCAGAGAACCTGCGCAGGCAAATGCCGTCCACTTAATCTTGATATTGTCCTAGATCTACGGAGGTACCGATCCCAGCTACTTATACGCGTTGCCACGAAACTGGAAAAAGACTTCAGTAGGGAAACCCATTTTAAAAATTGTTCTATAGACATGCAAAATATAAAACTTCATTGCGTCTAAATTGGGAACGCGACTCCTTTTATATCCCCCACATATTAAGGCAACTCATGTAAAAGGGCACGAGGTCACATCGTTGAATACTACCGAATGGAAAATCGTGAATAGTGAAAAGCCTTCCCGCATCACAGGCGCAGCCGAGGGAGGAGGGGGCGGAGAGAACCCCTGTGGATAGGGAGCAGGAGGACTCCTTGGAGCCACCTTTATCATTTTTCGCCCTGGTGAGCATCCAACAGAAAGTTTTAAAAAACCGCATGACGCGCTCTCACCCCGTTTTGAAAAATCCCGGCTGCACATCTGCCCGCACCTTGGTGAATTCGCAGACATGTGTTTAATCGGATCTGATCATGTGGCCACCAGTCACAGACCGCCAAAGAAGGGCCGCAGCCAGGGGTGACGCCACGAGGGGACGTGGGAACGCGTCCTTCTTTTGTCGGATAGGAGGAGAGTCCCCCGTTCCCAACAATCGTCTGACAGGAACAAATATATTCTTGACGCAGGTTTTCACTGGGGGCCCCACATGATCAGCTTTTTACCACAATAAAGGTAACTTGCATCCGTAGGATTTCATTGCTACAAAGCTAGTACGATGCTACTTCGTCTCAAAAAGACCGCACGACGATATTCCCCTATACTGGTCGAGCGCATTCATTGCCCCTGCCGTGCCTGGATTTCAAAGCCGGATTAGGAGGTAACTGGATTGGCAAGTGCCTGCAGCGCACGTTTATAAGTCCTTTTAATGAGGGAAAATGAAAACTAATGCTAAATTGTAACGAACGTGCTACAATGAAGTATCCTTCGTTCCCCAGGCATGACTGCTATTTGGGTATGTTTTCCGTCAATGTGCATCACGTGTTTTCATGTCACCACTTTCACAGTCATGCTTTTCCAGAAGCTTTAGGATGCAAACAGATGAGCCCTGTAATTGTGTGCATCTTTTCTGTTCATTGCGCAGCTTGAATTATTCCGTACACAAGTACCCCTAATCACAGTGCCTGCATATATTACCTACTTTACCCCCCGCCGTGCTGCAGGAAATGCAGCTTTCGGCAACTTGATCGCTTTAGCTGCGGAGAGTACAGTTTTGTCCTGTCATAACATCTCTGAACTATGGTCTTTTCAGCAGCTTCAGTGCGATTAAGTTTCGATTTGAGACGAAGGCATGGTTTCAACCGAGCCCGGCCGATGGACGTCCCCGCGGTGCCCGCAGTTCCCGCCAAGGTGAGGGGCGGGCGACGTCACATAACCTCAGCAGCTGAGTGCGTAGTAAAACCCTAATGATTACGGTAGCGGGGAACAGAAGTCCTTCCTCTTAATATTTGCGGGTTAAGAAAAAAAGGAAAAGAAAGAAGCTAGCAAAAAGGCATAAAAAGCGAAATGAGGCAACGCGAGCTGTTAAGCACCATTTCTAGAGCCATACATTTTATCTCCCGGCAATTCAAAGTCTAAGACAAGTCACTGCGCTAACGGGAATAAGTCTTGGATCAAAATCTAGAGGTTTGAACCCTCATGACTTGGTCAGGTATGGACAGATTTGATGAATATTGCAAAAGTGTTTCGCTGTGTGCTTCATGTGCATATACTGTACGTAAGCCTTATTTGCCCCATAACCTGTAGCGGAATTGTTTTCAGAGAGCGCTCCGGCAGTGACTAGCTAGGCTGCCAGGAACCAATTCCAAAGTGTTGCCTCTGAGTGAACGGGGCTCGTATCTCTCGCATCAATATCAATCAGACATCGTCGTAATTGGCGGTATACCCTTCGATGTGTTTTATTTATTGACGTCTAGCACCTGTGAGGAAGATTTTACTCACGGCCTGTGGAAGCAGCACTAAAGATTTCGTGGACATTGCGTTTCATTTTCACGGCGCGTTGGAATTTTTTTTTAACCGGTTACGAATGACTCCCACAAGTCCAGCACGGGTCTTTTACCCGCACTACACATACAAATGCACCCATAAAGTACTTTTCTCCAGGTCCGTCGTGCTACATTATGTCACTTAAGCTACCAGAAAAGGCCCGAGTTAATAAATTTCTTCACTCTGTTCGCCTCGTAGCACTGTTACTCCAGGTCGCACAGAAGCTGGGTGTGCTGACCCTACGGAGACGCCTTGGAACAGCGCTACCAGATGAGCCCAGAGGAGCAAGGCGAACCGCGCCATTTCATTTGCCCAGGGGGCAAACATAGCCCTGTGATGACTATGCTCACATCGCTCCCCCTGTCAGATCTCCGCAATGTGAAGCAAAACGCGCGGGAACCCATCCCTAAAGTCGTCAAAGCTGGTCGCCTTCTCATGACCATGCCCACCTGTTCAGTCGCAGCTGAATGCAGTGTCCGTGAGCGAAAGGGGCTGAAAACCTGCTCTGCGTAATGGTGCCGCAGAAAAGGATGGACCCGGCAGCAGTGTGTTACGTGCTCGCCGTCGCCTGGATCGAATTGATCCAGTTCATACGGCGGTCGATTTTGCCAGTATAAACGCATAAAATCAAGGCACGTTTGGCGGCAGTTAGGACTGCACCATGAGCGGCGGTGGTGCAGACCTGGAAGGGGTGTGTTAACGCTGTGATCCTCAAGCCGAGTATCGTTGGGCTATTTTAATGACACCTCAATCAATGGCCAGATTTACTCTGTTATTATTCTATACAAGCAAACAAGAAGCTTTTGGAGTCGGGAGTGTGCCCAACTCAGATTGTAACTGCAGAATAAAAATACATGAAATGTCACGTTGCGTAACTTTGGCCGCTGTAAAAACACGTATACATACTCTTATACGTGATGTGACCATCTGGTCTAGACGGTAATATGCACTGTACTGAGAAGTTGCAACACTGCGATAATATATAACACACTGCGAATATTATATTGCGACGCAGCGAATACAATATTTTCCTCCGGCACTGGAACAACGGAGTTCGCCCATTTTGGGAAGGCAAGGAAATTAGTATCCAGCTGAGTTATTTCTGTTAAATCAGCGCCCAAATTGCATAGCGATAATGAATACAATTGCTAAACGCATGATTGCTCGTCCATTGCTTTTATTCATTTGCTGGGATGGTTTTACGACATCGTCCACTCCATAAGAAAATGGTAGCTCCACCCTGCCTGAAGCACGGGAGGACGCGATGGTCCCAAGGGCGACGATCCTCAGCATGGCGAAATTTGGACAAACTTTTACCAAGTGAAGCAGGGAGTCATAGTTTTGCAAAATGAGCTGGGGGCGGGGGGGGGGGGGGGTGGAGCTGCACGGTTAAATAGGACAAAAACCTATGTGAACATGCGTCCAAAATGGGCTTACCGCTGGATTTCGCTTATTTTCATCTGCAGCCCGGGCGTTGGAACCCAAGGACGGGGAATGGGGAGAGCTGGAGCCCGCACCCAGCAAAAAGGGAAGCTACACCCCAGCAATGAACGTCATCTAAGAACATTCCCTCAGACACGGGGAATCGAAATCCGACGAATTTGTGAGAAATAAATCAACTCTTTGGAATCAACCACACCGGCATTAGCTTCCCCTCAGGACAGTGCACCGGATCATTCCTTGACACAGTGTGACCTGTTGCAAATTCCCGACGTTTGTTTCAGTGACCGTTGTTCAGAGATGTTTCAGATCCACACAGGCCTCTTTACGAACTAAGACTACCCCACGACAGCGACCCCAGAGCGTTATTCGACAGCGATGATGTCATCTGGCTCTGACGACGTTACATAGAAATAACAAATGACGCATCCCTTTCGTGGTATACTGATTCTTTTCCCACTTATACATTTGTTTCTATCAAACTCAGAATACACTATGTCAAAAAAATGTTTTTTTATTTAGAAAATGACTGTATAAAATGATCATACTTCAGTAAGGACTGTTCATAATACCGCACAGAATAGTTTTTTTATATTTTGGCCACTAGGATTAGCAGCAAGTATTGTAAATGTGCGTCCCAATTTGTTCCACTATTCTAAGCCCAGGTATGTAATGTCGCAAGCGCGCCGCAATTATTGCCAGTATGTTTGCTAGGCAGTGTGGCTTTCGCAGCTGTCCGATCGATCCGCTGTTTTAGATCATCTCCGCTATCCGCAGGGTTTGTGTATCTTGGGGATTGAAGACTTGTGGGAAGTATTGAAAAGCCCTACTGAGTAGTATCCAGCGATTTGTGTTAAGTGAAGTCGAAGGACACAGGCGCCAATCGTTTGCCCAAGTTTCGTAAGCATGCCGAAGAACAAAGGTAGGGTGCACGTCGTCCTCGCTGAATGTGAAATGTATTGGCTTTGTTTAAAATGCTGAGGGTTTTAACAATGTCATGCTTAAGATGTTTGCTTAGAAATTTGCACGCAGCGTGCGTAACCCTGGACATTACTGCATAGTCATATTATTTTCACTCAATACTGCCAGCCGATTCTTTATCAAAATATTTTTTGAGCTGGCAGAACAATCATGCATGGTAGAATGAGTGCTTTAGTATATTCACTTGTTTCTGTTGTTATCTGTTAATATTTTCATAGATAGAGGTCAAACATGCATGCAAACATGCAAACATGCTGACTGGTATCCTGATCAAGGTGGTGTTGGCCACAGTTTTGGAAAGCTGAGTCTTGGTCTCTTTCCAGTCTGTTTTATTGGTAGTGAGACACCTGGTCTAAGCAGCTTATTTTATGACTGAGTGACAGAGAGCCGCAAGTGGCAGAAGTGGACATGTGTTGCCTGCCTTAAATTATTAGGCTTAAATTAATACAGGGCAGCTATACCAAGCCATGGTTAAAACCAGTTTAAACCAGTATTGGCTGAAATATGCCAGGCCTGCAGAATGTGTCAAAATGTGTTGGTTGGTAGTGTATTTGTGTTGAAGCTTTGTGTGCTGTATGTGTAAGTGTGCCTTGGTTGTATGTATTGCATACTTAATGCATTGAGTGTGCCACATCATAACAATGAACCATACCTACCATTTGTTCTTCAAAAAGTTGTTATTATCAAAATGCCTCAACTGATGGTGACTGCCCTGGCATCCAAACTCCCATCTATATGTCAATCTCTAATACACTTTGTTTCAGTGCCTATGATGCATGTTTGGGTATTGATATATGGTCTTATGCTCACATGTAGTCTGTATATGTCTGAATGAAATAGGAATGTTTCTTTCCTTCTGTGCTAAGTGTCCCTGTTTCCATGTGGAATCCATTTATTTTTTCAGGAAAGGGAGGCAAAAACAGGAGGAGGGGAAAGAATGAAAATGAAGCTGACAAAAGAGAGCTTATCTTCAAGGAAGATGGACAAGGTGGGTTCTTCAGATGTTGCCAGTCCTTTGGCACATGACCTAACTTATCTGACAGGCTGGGTTATGTCACTTTTTTGCATCTTCCTGTTTCTTCTCATGGCTGGATATGTTACATATTAGTATAAATTGAGCTGAATATTTATTTTCGCCATCCTGTTACTGTGAATAGCTGGTTAATGCGCTCTGCTTCAACTCAAAGCATGTGATGATTTTCCTGGTCCTGTCTGGTCTAGTGATGCAAACATGTCACCAAAAATTACATGCATATAATTTTAAGGTGTGGATTATCCAAGGATGGTTTTCAGAATGCCTCTGCAAGTAATTGGTGCACCATGCAGACTTGTGTGATCTGCATGATGTTGTCACTGTGTCTTGCTCTCCTTGGCCAAATCTATGAAAATAACTTCAGTTAAGGGAAAGGTTTCACATCTGAAGATGCTGAGGAAAGCATCAAACATGATAGAACAAGCTCACTTGGTTACTTTTGATATACTTTTTAAGTGGAAAGAATTGCTCTAGACAGCATAATTCTCTGTTCAGTTAATTTGCTTCTCAGTGTGTCATGGTATGATTTGCTCATCATGTCTTGTGCAGGAGATTGAGAGTCACTTGCACATTTTTGGGAGCCAATCAATGGCCGTTATATCTAGAAATTGGCCCACAAATGTCAGATATGAGCAACTTGCCATTTATTTTTTCTTGGCCTTGATTGCCACATGGCTTGTGGAATGGCAGGATTGGAATGGCATTGTTTTCATGTCCTGAATGAATGCTGAGATGACTTGAAATTACTCTCCCCAGTATACCTTTCCTCATTTTCACAGGTGTGTAGCTCAGAAACTAATGGGGCATAGGTCTTAAGAAGGGCAGGATTGTGAACAGCACCAAAAGGTCTTCAAGATGAGTGTTTTGGCTTAAAACCCCATTTAAATGGTGTTTTAATGTGACAGAACTTTCTTTTCAGTGCTCATTTTAGTTTTGATATAGACATTGTAATTAATAGGTCTAAATCATGATTTACATTTTGTTCTCACTAGCCATTTTAGCGATTGTGCTGCACCAATTACAAGGTGTTGTGTTGTGAGCTGCTGGCTAACCAAATGTTCAGCTCAAACTGGCGTCCTGAGGCACGTTGTCCATAAGTTGGATGCTGTTTATCGATTGGTGTTGGATCAGTGATACTCCAGGTTATCCGTCCACAGGGGTCCACTGCTTTCCAGGGTAAGGTTTTGACCTCGCCATGCCATTCGGGATCATCTGAACTCTACACACCGCTCTCCCTACCCTCAACGCCTCTGTAGGTGCCCAACGCTGGTGGGTGTGCTGACGGAGCCTGTGGTCCTTTCCGCAGAGTATGCCCAGGTAGCCAAAATGCTGGGCAACGGCCGTCTGGAGGCCATGTGCTTCGACGGCGTGAAGCGACTGTGCCACATCCGCGGCAAGCTGCGGAAGAAGGTGTGGATCAACCAGGGCGACATCGTGCTGGTGGGGCTGCGCGAGTTCCAGGACCAGAAGGCCGACGTCATCCTCAAGTACAACGATGACGAGGCGCGCAATCTGAAGACGTACGGCGAGATCCCCGACTCGGTGCAGATCACCGAGGCCGGCACCTTCGTCGGCGACGGCATGGATGACGACATCCAGTTCAACGACGTCGGTGGCGACGACTCCGACTCGGACGACGACATCGACAACGTGAGTTCGCCGCCGCCGTCCGCGGCATCAGGGGGACGAGCCAGGGAGGGGCTCGCTTGAGTTAGTTAACATGGGCACAAGCATGACGTTCTTCGGGACTGTGGGTGTTCAAATGTCTTTAAAAAATCGCTGGCTTGGCGGTGGCTTGCAAGCCTAAAACCTTAGTCAAACCTACCCCTTCCCTCGCGGCTGCTTCGTACACAATTAGTGTATCTCGGGTTTACTCCGTCGAGATATATCCCTCATCAGTTCAATGGATGAATAGAAGCTAGATTTGGTTCGTTCGTGGTACGACCCTGAAGCAGATGGGCCTTCAAACACCCACGCCAGTTATGCCGGTCTCGGTTTGTGTCCTATGTTCGGGATGCTGCTCGCTATACCATCATGGGGTCGTCTGGGCATTGCTGCACTTTTTTCTCACGGGAACACTGCAGCTAAGGAAGGATCCGCGGCTGTCGTATGAGACGTGGCGTCACACTTAGGTTAAGTGGTGTTGGACTGACCGTCGACGGAACGAGGAACCCGAAACCGAGGAACCCGTCTGGGTTTATTTCATACTGCCCCACAGCTGCTAGTTTATTGGTGCAGCCATCAGCCCGCAACGTGGATGCTTTTGACTACTGAGTGCTGGCTAGAATGTCGGTCGTGACTTGCAAGGGTCACAAAATAAGCCAAGCTTGGCTAATGGTCATCACATTGCCATAACATGGGTAGTGTCTCTTTGTCTTTGTGGAACGAAGAGCACGGGAAAAAGCGGAAGATCCGGACGCCTTCGGGTAAAACAACATGTGATACCGTGTCAGGCGGCGCCCGCTCGTGTCGTCCCATTAAGACACCATGTATCCATAAACGACTCACAAGCCATTGGGTTTTACATACCATGCATATGTGATAGATCCGATCAAGGTGCCGAATGCGTTCGAATCTAGGTCAGGTACTGCTATAAAGGAACATGGTAGGAGCAGCGTGGCAAGTCATGTCATATTTACTACAACTATGCCCAAAAATCATTGATTAAAAATTTGGGGCTAGTTTTTGGCACAATAAGCTGTGAGGTACCTATGTCATATGTCAGCCAATTCCTTAATTGTATTCCTTTGTTATTCCGTATTCGCAGAAGCCGTCAGCAAAGAGCAGTGCTTATGCCGGACATACGTGTCAGGGCACGCACAAAAGTTACCGTTGAGGGGCATGTGTTATATCGATTGATAAATTTATTTCGATTCATTTGTCTAGGCAAGGTGCCCCATTTGCCTGACACGCTGTCGAACGCTCCTGTCACGCTTTGGTAGGACAGGAAGAGTATGGCAATTGGTGTAGTTGGAACTGTGCACCCCACAGTCTAGTCTCGTATCCCATTCCATCATGGTATTTTATGTTTGTTATGGTTTTCTCTGTCCGTTGCCTGTCTGTCTGTCTGTCCGTCTGTTTTCTCTGTCCATTGCGATGCCTGGTTATTCATGCCTTAATAAAATAACTGCGTGAAGTGTGGGCTGCACGTTCTTAGGAAGTGTCAAACCTGTTTGGTGTTGCAGTAAGTGACACATCGGCGCGGTTTGTACACACCGCACGTATTAATATGTGGTCGTCTTTCTTGCAGATCTAGCGCACGTTTCTGCCAGCTTCTCTTCTTGTGCTACATCATTATCAAGTTCTGCGGGCTGCCAGGCAAAGCAAGAATGCTGCGTCGGCGTGACTCTGTGGATGATATGCACCGCTTTACCGGCGGAGTCAAAGGACAAAGCTTGACAGTCGATTGAAGCTGGTGCCCAAGCGTTTCAAACGATGCAGTTGCGTACCACACGGGTGGCGGCGAAAAGGGAAACATAGCTTATAAAAATGCCGCTAGATGTCAGCAACTGGCAGCGTTGGATTGTTGCTTCCCGTATTGGTGATGGGTCGTCACCATGTGTTGTTGCGCGTGAGAACCAACTGTGACGTATGGCGTTCGGCTGAATTTAGTGAACTGCTTTGGCCTATCCTAAAATGTTCTAACAGAGCTGCCGTCGTGTATTCGGGCTTGAATCTTCGGAACGCCTTTTAATAAAAAAGATGGTGCGGTCACCAGTGTTTGTTACTGATTTTTATCATCGGGCTCCTATTGCATATCTTAATCATTCCGAGGCCTGTGCTGGAACAACTACGATTTCGGCCCAAGATCTTGGTTGCCATCGTCCGAACGTATCCGAGATTTAAACTAAAGGGCCTGAACGACGTGAATGGAGGTGCTGCCGGTTACCACACTGCAAATAATGTGCCGCAATATCTAATTATGAACGTCCCGGACAAATGTGTGGCACAGGAGGCAACATTTAAAAAAAATCTGCTGTCATTGGTTTGTTTCACTAGCTTACTATGAGAGCGGGACTGCAAATTTGATCAGTGGGACGCTCGTTCTCCATCTGAGAGCCTGCACCCTATCACTAGATCGTCGGGAGAGCCAGGCAGCAAGCTTGATCAGTGGGACGTTCTCCATCGAGGTGCTGCCGGTTACCACACTGCAAATAATGTGCCGCAATCTCTAATTATGAACGTCCCGGACAAATGTGTGGCACGGGAGGCAACATTTTAACAAAATCTGCTGTCATTGGTTTGTTTCACTAGCTTACTATGAGAGCGGGACTGCAAATTTGATCAGTGGGACGCTCGTTCTCCATCTGAGAGCCTGCACCCTATCACTAGATCGTCGGGAGAGCCAGGCAGCAAGCTTGATCAGTGGGACGTTCTCCATCTGAAAGCCTGCACCCTTGCTATGAGAGCACCCTTGTCACTAGCTTGCTATGAGAGCGAGGCTGCAAGCTTGATCAGTGGGACGTTCTCCATCTGAAAGCCTGCACCCTGTCACTAGCTTGCTATGAGAGCGAGGCTGCAAGCTTGATCAGTGGGACGTTCTCCATCTGAAAGCCTGCACCCTGTCACTAGCTTGCTATGAGAGCGAGGCTGCAAGCTTGATCAATGGGAAGTCCTCCACCTGAGAGGCTGCGCCCTTCTAGTATGCTGTCTAGAAGCTGTGGAGGTCTGTTAAACTATTAATCGCAGCTTCCTGTGACCGTCAGCAACCAGATGCTCGGTTTTCAAAAACACGAGCAGCACAGATCTTAAACATCTGTATGCAAGGCAATTAACCAAGCGTGACTTTCATCGTGCAGCAGTAGCAAGAACATTCCTCGTTTGATAAGCACATGTCACAAATTTCGCTAGTGGTGAAAAGCTGGCACAACACATGTCGAAACTTTGTCCAGATCTCACTGATCTGGTGTCGCACCGCTAGGCGACCTCGCCGTTTGACAGGGGAGAGACTGGTAAATCGTGTGATCAGAAGTGTTAGTCAGTGCGTGAGAACGGCCGCTTGCACTCGCGTGCCAGCATTGGATGCACCCACCTTACGACGTTTTTAACAAGCGATATCAAATGTCGCCAAGGCACATTTTTAACGAGTGATGCCAGATGCCGGAAACCGGAGCGCATACCTGTGATACCTGATGAAGTGCACGGTGAATGCGGATGGACCGTCCACAAGGTGCCGGGGAATACTGGGAGTGAGAGCCGGTAGCTCACTCCTCCTTCGCCGTGGCGTCGGCCCTCTGGTACCGGCAGGGCTGATGTGTCCAGGCACCCAACTGAACACAAAAGGTCGGAAACATGTCTCTGGTCAGCGCCGGGGCACATCGGCCCTGCCGGGAGAGTGGCGGCGCTGAGCGAAAAGAGAAACAGCCGACCTCCACCACCGCTCTTTCCGAGGGCCGTTTTCTGACGCGAGACGTCCCTGCCAGCTCTCAAGAACGGAGTAGCAGACGACACCGGATCACACGAGTGCTGGCGACCAGTGAAATGCACAAAACAAGCTGAAGCTACGAAGACAGGCATAGGTGAATGGTGACCTTCGCGCCGGGGCAGCAGAAGATGGAAGGTCGTTTTCCACTGCGTCCAAAGGTCACGTAAACGGGACGCATGGTTTTCTCCTCTCCGGAGGTCGAGCACCGCCGTGCCTCGTGGTCACGCGCTGTTCGTTGGCTATGTTCTCGTGTAGTGCCCGTACTCTGGAGTGAAGGGCTTTCGTCACTTTGGTCGTTGTATGCTGCGCAGATTATCTCTGGGTTCTCTCAACTTCGAGGACCCCATTATTGACGTGAATATTGTTCTTGCATTTTGTGACACTGACTTCAAGGTCATGTTCTCAACAGTGGTGCCACTTTCATAAAGTTCTTATCCAAGGCCCAGTCCAGAGTTCAAGGGTGGACCAGCTGTTCGTCCAAAAAGTATTCAATAATCATGCTGTCCATAAATTAATGGACATAAAAAATAAACCTTTGTGTTTTGAGTATCAACGAGCTACCACATGCAATGCAACCAATACCGGCAGTCGCTACTAGCGTATCTGCATTCCCTCACCCGAATCAAATGAACTAAAAGAAAATTGTCGTGGCAGGCAGCGCGTGCCACAGGCTTCCTGAAGGCACTTTTAGTGTGCATTTCAGGTAAACATGGCACAATAAGCTCAATATGACAAAGGCGGCGGCCGTAAAGCAAGAAACTGATGCACAGTACTGTGAGCGTTGGGGGTACCGGTGCCCAGCCCCATAGCCTACAGAGTATGTGTCAGCGTGAGCGATGAGTCTGTATCTCATGCTCCAAAAGTAACAATTTCTAGCGAGCTCTACCAGCAACTTGTTTATGTTCGAGAGTCAAATTATTCTTAACATGAGTAATATTAAATAAAGTTAGACGCGTACCTATTTGCAACTCGACGAAATGTTATCGGTTTTCCGACACAAATCCGAAAAATTCCCCTCTCCGTCCAATTTCAAAATCAAACTTAAGAAAGTGTTGGAATTCCAAAAGTTTGGAATCGAATCGGCACCTCTAATTCTCACCTCTACGGCGCACTCCGACGCCAAGCCACCCTAGTTGAAAATATTTCGTAAGTTGTTCAGTTCAGTTCAGACAATGGAGATATAGATGGGTTAATATTTTGGCAATATGCCTTTACCGAAACAGTAACAGGAATTAATAATTGATAAGCAGTAGGGCCAAGGCGCAGCTAGAGCCTTGGCAAGGGAAGGGCACAGGGTTGACAAAAAAACCGGACAGTAAAAGACACCCCAAAAAATCTCGACATTATCGCCATTTGTTATTCTTTAATCTGATCAATAGCATATATTGATCAATCAACATTTGATCATTTGATCAATTTAGTGGTTCAGTGTAAGCGATGAGAGCCCGTATCTCATGTTCGAAAAGTAATAGTTTCTGGTAAGCTCTATCGACTTGTTAATGTAACCACCTTGGCTCATTCAGAAGTAAATAACAATTTACTTCTACTATTGTTTCGATAAAAACGTGTTGCGGAAATATCAACCGATCTATATCTCCATTCTCCGGGTTTTTATCCGAGGAATAAGGCTATTACCATTGTTATATCTTTTTGAAAATATCCTGGCGTACAGGGCATACGTGACCAGCGCATTACAAAACGCGATTGATCAGATGATTAACTATTGACTGATCAATATGATATGCTGTTGCTCGGATTGACTAGTAACAAATGTCGATAATTTAGGTCGATTTTTTAGGTGCATTTTGCCATCAGGGGGCCCTTTGTTAACCCTGTGTTCCCTCCCTTGACAAGGGTCTAGCTGCGCCCTCGGTACTGATACTTATTGGTGTGTAAAGCAAGTAGGACGTCCGCTACAGTCTTGTTTCCGAGTTATCTTCCCTTAAACCACACATCAGCGGAACACAAACTTTCAGGAAACTGCTCGCGTCAGGCATAAACTGGTTTACCGCGCCTTCATCTGTCTCTCCTCCAACGTAACCGCCTTGATCCACTTTTGTATGTAGCACGAAGGTACTTAGTTTTCTTAAACAAGGCACCTACCGCTGTTTGTCGCAGATGTTTGCCGTAATCCGGTATTTCAGGAAATACAGTTGGCGCTTCATCTATCATAAATTCCGCCTTTTCATCCAGCTAAAAACTCATCATTATCTTACTTAAAACTGAAATTTATTTTGAAGCTTATCATTATTCGTCATTAGTTCCCCGGACGGTTGTACCCAAAATTTGCTGTTGAACTGGGCGAGTGTGGTCTCAAACAGGTATCTCTTCTGATTGTTTGGGCTAAACTAAAAAAGAAAAGACTAAGATATATTTTATAAAAAACTGGCATTGATGATGTGGCTCACACAAACAGCACCCGGAAAGGCGACAACCTTTCTCTTACAAAAAGTTGCTAGTGTAGGACTAACAAGCTTCGCCATTTGTATCAGTCTACTTGTTGACGCAGGACACTGAATCATGGCTACAGACAAATTCATTGCAAGCGCTCTGCAGCATTGCGGTGCATGGTCATGCTGCAAGGCTTTGTCCCTGCCCGACAATCGCACGTGGTTAATCCCCGAAACCAGAGCCGCTCAGGAATACCTGCCACGTGGTTAATCCCTGAAACCAGAGCCGCTCAGAAATACCTGCCATCGCTGTTGTTGGCGGCGGCGGTTGACGGCACGTACGCGAACGTGCCGGCACCCTGCTGAAGACTTTCCACTAATCAGTAGTTTATTTCAAACGGCCGAGTACCGCACAGCCGACTCATCAGGAGTTAGTGAAGCTAATCTTACCCTATAAGGCGAAGCAAGAGTGGAGAGCACTGAAGGTTCAATAAAAACATCCGCAAAACGGCTGAACGTAATCTAATCTCATCTTGTAGAATGCAGATATCTCTGACATCTGCAAGCTTGAAAACGTTACAATAAGATCACATTTGATCAACTGCATGCCAATGGCATAAAACACAAGCCAAAATGCGCAACGACTTTTCGGCCCAAAACCATCTACAGGTGGTAAACAACAGTAGATGGCTGGCGGTCAAAAGCTCATTGAACATTTTGTTTTGACTTATAACTCAAGGTAACATTATCAGCGTACAATTAATCATGTGTGTTATTGGTACAATGCATACCCGGTTTAGTAAACAATTGTTCGTAGCGCCTTATGCTCTTCCGGCTCTCCGTGGAACTACCAAAAGTAATGCATCGGTCAGCAGATAGTCATCTGGTGCCGACAGAAC